GCTGCCTATTTGTACACGGCAGAATCGCCGGCTTATTTTATACCTTTCCAGTGAGGAGCATGCAAAGAGTGAATGAGTGACAGGTGCATGGAAATGCAGTACAGCATTTGGGGCAGGAAAAGATAATGCGGAATGCATGTTCGAAAAGCTGCGCGGAGGTCACTGTGAGTGACAGCACGATTGGAGCGACGGCTGCCGCAGCTGAAGTCGTTTTTGTCTGTGGCAATGACGCATGACCGACGAGGATGCCGTCTGCACTCGCCACTGACTAATTGCTATAGCGAGTGACCACCGAGTGGTGGTTTATCAGCGAACGATGAAGCTTCGAAAGTTAATCGTTTTCGCTGTTTCGAAGACGATGTTGTTTCTGCCCTGTGGTGGAAAAAGCGACCGTGGTGACAAAAACGACGACGATGACTACCATTGCGACTAGGACGTGAACGACGTGTTCACTATAGGTGTACTTCCTGCTGTGACACGACATCCGTGATCTGATCTTGAAATAGCGGCGTCGCCGTGTGACCAGCTCAGTGGCAACTGACGTCGCACTCGAGATGTCGCAGGAGGTCGGCGCGTCCTCGTCCTCTTCCTCATCCTCATCCTGGATCGGCTGCGGCCGTTGTTCAACGTTTGGCCAGTTGCTGCCTGGCCGCAAACCGCGTCACTGCGTTGCGGTCATGGTCATTGTCAAAGCGCTGGCGTGCATTGGTTTCGCAGCGTGCGTGTACTTTTTTGTCGGAGTTAACTGTTCACTGTTCAAACTCGCCTGCTTTACGATCGTCACTGCCGGCTTTTGCGTTCTGCTGGAAACGATCGGCATGTTCCAACGCTCTTGGTGGCTGCTGTCGCGAATGTCCATCGTCAATCTAGTCAATATCGTACTGTCCACGATCGTACTGTTTCTGACGCTGGCCGGAGAGCAGACGGTCGCCCCGTCGGTCAGGGACTTCAACCCGTACCTGGTTCAGGCGCTGACGTGCACCGTTCTCGGTGTCTGGCTGACGGTGCTCATGTGTTCGATGAAGGCGATTCAACACTACTGCTCGTACCTGATGCGCAACGAACGTACAGCGCGCTCCGTGCAGTCCCCACTGCCAATGGCCGTCGTTAAGGTAATGTCCGATCATTCGCAATGGGGCCAGCCAGCGAAAACGAAAAGGGCGGACTTGTACTCATTCTGGGATTACTATGGCCCGAAACTTGACATGAACACAGTCATAGTTACCAACACACCATCTGCAACGTCATCTTCGCCTACAGGTGCTACAGCTGCTACGGCATCGGACGCGGCTGGCCTCCGCGTCGTCAACGTCTCTTGTCGGAACAAATTAAAGTCGCCTTCATCATTGCCCCCGACCTCGGTGGCAGCCGTGCAAACGGCACAGCAGTCGACGGCTACCACTGAACAGTGCAACGACACTGGCACAGAACAACCAACGTCGCAAACGTAATGTTGCGAAAAGCTAGCCACCTTCTACATGTGAATTATTGCTGTCAACGATGTTCAAAGAAGAGCACTTCATGCGTTGAGTGTTTATTGATTCTTTTCGTTGATTATGTTAAAAGTGCAGCTCGCAGCCAGAAGTGCTAATGAGAGTTCGACCGAGTGTTAGCAAGAGTTACTGAATGTTATTTGCATACCGGCACCTACCCTTCATTGCTTCCGTAGCGCTATTTTCAACTCATCCGACAACGAGGAATATCTAACCAGTTTTTACTAGGCTGACAAAGATGAGTTGCGAACAGTTGTAAACCGGATGTACTATCGAACTTCGTCATGTCCACTGTCGCTTCGCTTCTGTGCCGTTCCTCTTTATCAGTTATCATTGTTCCAATAAACTGCCTGGTACAGGATTGAATACTAGGTAATGTTTCCAGTCTGTTCGACTTAGTAAGATTTTGTGAAACGCTTGAATGATAACGAAAACAGCGGCTACATCCCAACCTCACCATCTTACACAAGTGAACAGGGTCAGTGAGACTGACTGAGTAACGACCCACTGGATATGAGTAATGCACTAATCGACTTCCGAAATGCCGGGTTTAAACCTTATGCGTGGTTTTCTCTTACTACTAACTACTAATTTCCTAAGCAGTAAATTCACCCGCCATATTTTTGAGCAATATGCAAGAAATGGGTAGCAAAGGTTGTTGACCTGCGAACATTGGAGATGCCGTGATGTTCTGATGTGGCTATATCAAAACGTGCGAGATTTACGGCCATGTTTTCCGATGCGAGTGCCTCTTAGCGAAGGCCGTCATTCGCTTTGAACCGCTTAACAGCTCACTATCATCATCATCGATCTCCTTCGATCCACTGCTACACAAAGGCCTCCAAGGCTTTGTCATATAGGTTTGCTTTCTGCCATTTTTATCCATCGTGATCCAGTGAATGTATGAACTCATCCTGTCATCGATCAGGTCTTCCTCCGGGCCGTTTATTCTCTTTTCAAAAGCCAGTCTAATGTTTCTCTCGTCTAGCGATGGTTGATTTTTCTTGAAACGTGTTCTAGCCATGGCCATTTAACTTCTTTACTCATGCAATGGTATCACAGACCCTTGTTTGTGCATTTACCCATTTATTCATCTTCCTGTCCTTTCTTGTTATTCCCAACACGCGCTTTCCCTGATGCACTGAATAGCCTGCCGTTCACAAATAGCTCTCAGGTTTAGTGTCGAAGTTTTACACCCTTAGATTAGCACTGGGAGCACATCGAAAACTTTCCATTCCAACGACAAGTGCAATTTCTCAGAAAAGAACGTTGTGAGTTTTCCAGAAGTGCTCCATGTTATTTCTATTCTTCTGCTGATTTCACACAGTCAGCAATGGCAGAAATGATCGATTCCACATGGAACGTAGTTGTGCACATCTTTATGCCAAAATCTGCTGACTTAAACAGGATCACATATTCATTAAAAAGGATCTTTTTCTGGTAAATATTCAGCCCTACTTTGAGGCCTGGCGTTGTTAAACTCTCGGATTCTTTTGGCGACTTTCAGAAGATCAGAATATCTTCCACAAACCGCAAGTGGTTTAAGTATTGCCGATTTATGTTCTTTTGTTTTGAGAACTTTTTGGGCTGCCGTGAATAGATTCAATGATGTTGCATCGCCCTGTCTGATGCTTTTCTCGATAGCTGACTATACCATATAATAATGATAAGCACTACAATGTGTAAATGCATGTTTTGAAATCACGCGCATTCAATTTCGGTTCAGACTGTTCATCAGTAAAACGAGTATGCATCATTCTTCTTGTCTATACGACTTCTGCTTAGCTTTCGACGACGGTGGCGGCTGGAGTACCTTCGTGCCACAAATGGATGACTCTTTCTCTACTGTAATTGCACTCGAAGAAAATACGTATTCGACGAAACGGGGGGAAGTTACCGAACAGTTTAAACCGCATTTAGGCAGAACAGAATATTAACCTTAGTGAATAGACGCTAACACGTGGGCTGATTTGTAAAGTTTGCCGAGCTAGATATAAACGAAGAGCATTCATAAACAGCTACACTAAATCTATATATGCTCGTTTAAATTGAACTCGATGACGAGACTGTTAAAAATCCTGCGTTTCGTGACTCGTCTTCCAAGGAGAACAACAAGTTATTCCGTACAGAGGTGTACGCAAGACTTGTAATTTGGTTACGTTTTTCACCACTTTTGCTTCGTAATATTCAAGAAGCAAGAGCGATATTTCTGTTATTAAATTCATGATCTTACTTGTCCAAGAGTGTCTTAATCGTATTGAGGTTGTAGTTATGCCACCTAATTGATTCTGCTCAGAGGGCAGATTTTATATGACGTTATTTCAGCATGCGTTTTTTGGATTTTAATAATGACGGCGGTCATCAGTCTTTTCTTCGCAATAAAAATGTGGAGGTCTATAAACACTGATTACCAAAGACCTTTAGAAAATCGTTTCGACCTCTGTGGCAGGTCATCTAAGACAAACAACTCAACAAATACAATTGAGGGCTCATCACTTTATTTCGCTCTGAAATGCGGGCTATAAGCCTCAGTTTGTGGGCAGTTTGCGAGATGGACGTCGATGCAGCAACCGCGAGGAAAGCCGGTTGAAACTCGAAATGAAGTGACAATCAGTGATCAGTACAAAGATTTACTATAGCAACATGACCCGCTTTGTAAATGGCAGCAACACATAGGTGGAACAAACGAACAATCTGTAGCTTCTTGCCTCGATGTTACGGTGCCGTAAATTACACCCATTTGAACAATATTCTGACGAATTTTTGAACCAATCAAGTGTTATATACGTATGCACAATACAAAACAATTGTGTTTGTGGTTATATACCGATAAACATCGATCTCAGAACTTTCATAAGCAATTCTCGTAGCTTATAACGACCTAAACTACCGTATCTAGGAATCACAAAACGAAATCTAGTTGTTAATCTTTTATCAGTCACTGAAATTTTATGATTTATTTCTAACGCTATCAACGAAAGAAACTGGCGGAATGGCTCCACTGAAATGGCATCGATCAAACGATGATCAACAAGAAAAATCGACAGCATTTGTTCTTTTCTACGGTCGCTCAAAACATTCCATCAGAGTTAGCTCTGAAGCTGCCTGCATCAATGAAGTAATTCGGGAAGAACAATCACTGCACTAATTTCGCATATTGATTGGCTCCTGAACCTATAAAGAACTGCTTTACGAAACTTAAAGACATATCACAAAACATCAACACGACTAACCCAATATTTTCACGGAAGTACAGAAATTCAAGGTAAGTTCATGAACCAGAAATACATAAGCTCCTACAACGGAGTTCCAGGGACACAGCGATATTGTAACCGACTGTGCTAGCTGCCAAGTTGAAAAACTTTCATTCAAACCCAGCTTCAACTAGAGTAGTAATGGCTTTCAGGGTCTGCATCGGTCGATCAACAACCAAAACCTAGCTTCAGTTGATCGACTAAAAAGAAGCTCGCAATCGTTATTGACTGCGAAGCTTCTTAGAATACAAGGTTGTCTCATGCCTCATTTTCATTGGTTACGCAACTAGTCTCGACTGTTTCTCCGACGTCGTGGTTTGTTTGTCCCACTGATAGGTTGACGTGTTTCGGTAAACTCAGTGATAAAGCATTCAGTACGGAGAAGAATGAATATGTAAGCAACTTGTCGCCGTTGCTTCCACTGTTAATGTTGCTGTAATGAAATATGGTTTGGTCCATTGCTTATTTATTCTTTTAGGCAGATACAGTTGTACCGTTGCTAGTACGATTGCTAGTAACATTCATTTTTTCAAGAAATCGCTGGAAGGATATTCAAACCATTCATTCATCCAACTGTTAAACTATTCTGTCATTCGTCCATCTCCTAACTGCCCACTCTTCGCAGTCTATCTACTTTTTAAATAATTTTTTTAGCCATGGTTGAAACAGCTACACACACTGGTCCCATAACCTCTGCCTTTGTACGATCTGTACTTGAATTCTAAAACTCTGCATTGTTGCTCGAGTTACCTGATACTTGACTGATCTCGCGCCCACATGCAACGAGAAGAATCCATCATCCCAATCGCTTCTATAGCATACAGACCACTATTTGGTGTTAGACATAAGCTCTCCTGGATATCTACGCGGTTGAAAATTAGTTCACGTACCCGGTGTTCGTGATCCCACATTATCGGTGTCCGCTCGGCATACTGTAGGTGCTTAGCTCATAAGCATTTACAAACCATTTCCATTGGCTCAGATCTGGGCCAGTCAGGGTCACACTACTTCTTCTTTCCAAAGTTTAAAAATGAGCACTACCTTCACAAATGACAAAGAAACAGGACGACAGGTTATGCTTGTCATATAGCTGCTGTCTTTCATGCCTTTAAAAATAA